GGTACTATGGTTAGTCTTGATTGTTAACTAGACTGGTGTATTAATTACTTCTCCCATTGCTGTGACAAATTACCTGACAAAAACACCTTAAGGAAGAAAGGGTTTATTTTGGCTCACAGTTTGAAGGTACAATCCATTATGGCAGGGAAGTCATGATGGCAGGTGCAGAAGGCAGCTGTGCACATTGTGTTCACAGTCAGAAAGCAGAGAGAGATGAATACTGGTACTCAGCTCTCTTTCTCTTTTTAATTCAGTCCAAGATTCAAGACTATGGAATGATGTCTTTCACATTTATAATGGGTCTTCCTACTTAAATTAGCTCAAAATACAAACTCCCTCATAGGCATATTCAAGTTTTATTTCTACAGTGATTTAAAATCTCACCAAGTTGATAATCAAGAATAGCTATCGCAGTTCCAGTCCTTGTCAAGATGATACTCAATCACATCACTTTTTTATTTTTATTTTTTTGAGACAGTGTCTCCCTGTATAGCCCTAGCTGGCCTGGAACTCCAGTAGACAAGGCTAGCTGGATCTCACAGAAATACCCCTGCCTCTGCCTCCCGAGTTCTAGGATTAAAGAAATGTGTCCCCATGCCCAGTAACCAGAGCACTTTCAAACCACAACCCTCACCTCTTGTACCCATATATTCTGGCAACCTCATAATGTAAATATATTGTCTAACTTCTAACGTTCCTATAGTCTTTAACAGTTGCATCACTACTCAAATGTAAAAGTGCAGATTCTCTTTCAAGATCCAGGCAATCCCTTAACTGTATGCCTCTATACAATCTAAAACCAAGTTCTACACATTTAACATTCAGTAGGAAAGAACTATTTCCATTCCAAAAGGGATTGATGGGGGTTGGGGGGGGGGAGCATAAGATCAGACCAGAGCCAAGACAGAAATCCTGTAGGGCAAACACCAAAATCTACAGTTTCATTTTAGGCTTCTGGGGCTCAGGAGAGAATTATATGGGTTCCAAAGGACTTGGGCAGTCAGACTGTTCCAATTCTGCTGCATATATAGCCTCTCTTTAGGACCAGTTCCACTCCTTTTCTGCATCTCTCTTTAGTGGACATCCCATGATCCTGGTATCAACAACATCCTGGGGTCTCCATCGAAACTTAGGCTTCACCTTTCATAGTATCATGCCGCTGCCTCTCAGTGCCTCCCTAACAGGATTCCAACTCTGTATATATTGCCTGCTTCAGCAGATCTTTGGAATCTAAGATTCCCTCAATCCTTCATGTCTGGAAAATAAGTACCACATAGACATGTTCCAGTTTAGGCTGAAACCTGTGTGATGGTTCTTAGATGAATGGTTGTTTTTAAGCAAGAAATCCCTCTAGCAGCATAATCAAATTAGGGTACCTCTTTTTCAAAAAGAATTTGTATTTTCTTTTTTCCATCCCTTCCCTCCCTTCTTCCCTCCTTCCCTTTCTTTCTTAAGACAGGAGTTCACTATGTAGACCAAGCTGGCCTCAAACTCTAGGATTAAAGGTGTGCACTATCATACCCAGCTGAATTTGCATTTTCACAAGTCAGAGCCTTTAACTGGTGGGATCTTACTCTTAGGCTACCTAGCCTATTGTACCAGCTCATAGAGCCAGGGTTCTCTTTCGTAGCACTAATTTCTTTAATGATTACAATTGCTTTTGAATCTACCTTTTCTGGAACTTTAAATTTTCTCACTCTCTTTTCCTTACCAAATTACATTTTTCATCTTTCTGCTCTAGTTTTTGTTCTTGTTAACTGTAGTCCTGGGTAAGAGTGGTAAGCAGCAGCCATGGACACAGTTTGAACATTATACTGCCATGAAATTTCCTCTGACAAATAAATTAATTCATTATTTTTTGAATGTTGCCTCACTTAAGTTCTCAGAATTATGGGCCAAATGAAGCAAAATTTTTTTGTCAAAATATAACATGAATGGCCTCTAGTTCAGTTCCCAGTATAGTCTTTGCTCCCCTCTGAAACCACATGAGCCAAGCCTCTGCTGTCCAGTTCTCTTGACATTTTGGTCTGCAAATTTCCACCAAAATGGCCTATTAAACTCTGCTTTCAATATTCTAGGGCTTTTCTAGTCTAAAGCTCTAAATTCTTCCACATTCTTCACATAAACTAGCTTTACATACCTAAGAACCACAAGGTCAGACTCATCATAGCAACAACCCCATTCCTGGTACCAATTATCTGTATTAGTTACTTCTTTGTTGCTGTCACAAAATACCTAACAAAAGCAATTTAAGGAAAGAAGGGATTATTTTGGTTCAGAGTTTAGAAGTATAGTCCATCATGGAAGGGAAGGCATGGTGGCAGGAACATAAGGCAGCTGGTTACATTGCATCCACAGTCAAGTAATAGATAGATGCAGATGCTCAGCTTGTGCTCTCCTTTTTATTTATTCCAGGACCCCAGCTCAAGGAATGATGTCATCAACATTTAAGATGCATTTTCCCACCTCAATTAGTCAGATCTAGAAACTCTCTCAGCATGCCTAGAGGCTTGTTTCCATGGTAATATTAATTCCATTAGGTTGACAATCAAGACTAATCATCACAATTAGACTTTGAATCACCTACGAGACACGCCTCTGCGTGTATCTTTGAGGGAGTTTTCAGAGAGGATTAACTGAGATGGGAAGACTCACCCTCAGTGTGGGTAGCAACCAGATATAAAGAGGTCCAAGATGTGTTCCTGCCTTCCCTGCTTCTTTCTGAGTTCATCTATTGAGTTACTGCTGCTATGATTTTTTTGCTGACATTAGACTCCAGCTTCTTCAGTCTTCCAATGTGGATCCATACCAGCAGCTCTCCAGTGTACATCCAGTCTTTGAATGCTAGATTGAGACTGCTGAGGTTTTTGGACTGAATGGTCATAGGGTTCTCTGTCATGCCAACAAACAGATAGCCATAGTTGGACTACCCAGTCCCCAACACTTAAGAAAATCTTAATAAAATCCCTATTACATATGCACCTACACACGCACACAACTGGTTTTGTTCTTGGAGAACCCTGTATACATAATATATAAGGCAAACCTCTTTATTATTTTAAAGAAACTGTCAAACTTCATTTTCATAATCAGTATACTTGTTTGCAGTTCATCAGTAACACATTTCAAAGGTGGTCTGCCTTTTTAGCATTATTTATGCTTTTTAACTGTTTTTCTGTATAGAATAGCTCATTGTATTTTTAATTAGCATTTCATTGATAACAACATTTTTACATGCTTAATTTGCCACGTGTGTATCTTTTTAGGTAGAAATGTGTGTTCAACTATCTCGCCTATTCATTTTAATCATATTGTCTTCTTATCTTGCTGTAAGAACTGCTTGCATATAACATATCCTTTAGCAAATATTTATAAAAGATTGTTTGTCTTTTAAGTCTTTAAGAACAGAATTATTGGGGCTGGAGTGATGGCTCAGCAGTTAAGAGCACTGGTGTAGAGGACCTGGGTTTGGTTCCAAGCACCCACATATCAGCTAACAACAATCTCCAACTCCAGTTTCAGGGGATCCAATGACCTCTTCTGGCCTGCACTGCATGCATGGGTGTATTTACATACATGCAGGTAAAACACTCATACACATGAAATAAAAATAAATAAGTTAAAAAAATTGAACAGAATTATTTAGTTTTGATTACCTTGTCAATTATTGAATTTTTCATGTTTTTCTTGGTGATCCATCTAGGAATTTCTCTGTTTAAAAAGCAAGGACTCACACAGCACAGGCTAGCTTGAAATTCACTGTGTAGTCAAGAAGAACATGGAATTCCTGATCTTCCTGTCTCTATTTCCAAGTTCTGGGATAATAGGCTTGCACCACCATACTCAGCTTTTCTAGCAGAGTTGTGATAGTTTCCTAAGCTAGTCATTGCTGTTAGCTATCATATTTCTATTATTATTCTACTAAAGTGTTATTAAAGCAACTAATTATAAAAGCCTTTAAAGAATAGATACTGAAAAATCAGAATCAAATCTTACTTTTTTTTTTTTTTGGTTTTTTGAAACAGGGTGTTCCTATAGCCCCAGCTGGCCTGGAACTCACAGACATCTGGCTGTCTCTGCCTCCTGAGTGCTGGGATTAAAGGCATACGCTACCATGCCTGACCAGAATCAAATTTTTAGAAGGCATATAAAAGAAACAACTTGATACAATGTATTGATTTTGATTTTGTTTCTTCCCCTAAAGAATGTCACTGCATTTTTAAAAATTAAAAAACAAAAACCTTGAATAACCTTGAATACATCACCCACAATGCTTAGATATGCTTGTGAACTGATCAGAGTGATTTAAAATTTTTTAAATTTATCTCATTAAGGGGAAGCAAGAGATACTTTATCATAACTGATTTGAGACACAGAAATAATGGTGATGACCTATCACGAACAGTGAGGACAAGGACAGCAATCTAGAGATGTCATAGGAATAAGACAAAATAAACAGGAGAGTTAAACCCTATGGAACCCACAGGCATGGTGGCACATACCTTTAATCCCAACATTTGGGCGGCAAAGGCAGGTAGAGCTCTATGAGTTTGAGAATAGCTTGGTCTACACAGTGAGTTCCAGGCCAGTTGGAGCTACACAGTGAGACCCTGTCTCAAAAAATAAAACAACAACAGCAAAAATTCCAAAATCCACTCATGGAACCAACATGTTTTGTTTGTACAAAAATAAATAATGATATTGTATTGTTGTTCCAGTAGCCATACCTATATTTTCACTAACTAGCATTCCATTAGACATACTTAATATTACTATGATACATAAAGATTCTCTAAGAAGGAATTAATTTTTATGAAGCCATTTTGAAGTAAAGTACTATGATGCCCTCTATTAGGTTCCCAGTAAACAGAATAAAGTATAAATTATACCATACAGGTAAATTGATAACAGTAAAGTAGTTCAAAGTTTATTTACTTTAATATGAATTATTATATTTGGCAATACAGTGGTAAAGAAAAAATACTGATAGAAGTTCTTACCATGGAAAGGTATTCATTCGTACCCTGTTCTTGTAAATCAGAATTCCTCCTGACATCACTCCAATCATGATTTCATTGTTACTTTGATCCTTCAAAATAAATAAGTAAATACATAACATCTAAAATAATTAAAACAGGATTTTTTTTAATACCTAACATTTTCAAAGTTAGCACAGAATTACATTATACTTAATTACAAGCCAAAATAGTTCACTGTTAGTTAATAAAGGTCAAACTTCAAAACAAACTTAGATGTTGCATTATTAAAATTCATTGTTCTAGAGGCAGGAGAAATGGCTCATCAGTTAAGTGCCTGCTGCACAAGGTATAAGCATGAGGACCAGAATTTGGATCTGTAGAGACCCTCATGGGTTTGGCAGCCTGTCTATAATTCCAGCCTCAGAAAGCAGAGACAAGGATCCTCACCACAATCTGTCTAACAAGGCAAGCCGTATCAATGAGTTCTAGGTTTGAGAAATCCTGCCTCAATGAGTAAGGCAGAATGACTGAGGATACGTCTTGACATCAACCTTCGGTCTCTACATGTACATGTGTACTCACACACATACAAAAACATGCATACACACATGCACACATTACACACAAAAATGGAAAAAATTATTTATTTAAAGTAAAAATAACCTGAGAATTTCTCATAACTTATTACTACAATTGACTCTGGCAAAGGGGGAATCTGAGATAAAATATATACAATATAATGAAATTCTATAACTAATATTAATATGCATTAGCAACATCATGGAAGAATAGACAAGAATTCTTAAGTAGTTTCAAAAACCCCAGAGAAGAAATGTGAATTATATCTTTAAGAATGTGTGAGAGCTTTCATATTAAGAGAGCCCAATGTGAATTGATTAATCTGTATTTCGGAGAGAATTGAGTATACTTAATATATTTTTTCTTAGGGCTAATCTTCAAATAGTTTTGCCTTTTCACTTGAAATATCCAATAGACAACATGATATAGCAAATATGCTTTTACTTCTTATTCATTTACTCAAAAGCCAGAACTAATAAGGTTAACGAAATAAATCCTTTAAACTGTAGTTTCAACAATTTACTACTTAAAATCTTATTAATTTCAGAGGTAGGATAACACATAGTAAGTAGTAAGTGGATAAATACGATTATATTTTTTATTTAAAAAAAATTTTTTTTTTTTTTGGCGCAGGGTTTTTGAGACAGGCCAGTCTTTTTTGAGACAGGGTTTCCCTGTAGCCCCAGCTGGCCTGGAACTCACTATGGACCAGACTGGCCTCGAACTCCCAGAGTTCCACCTGCCTCTGCTTCCTGAGGACTAGGATTAAGGTGTGGACCACTATGCCCGGCTTCCTGAGCCTTTTAATGACTTCCAGAATCTTAGGAGCTTCCCTAAGATTCAAAAATTCTATTTGAATTCACAAGAAATAGCTGTACAAAACTAGATAGTGAGACTTGGTTTCTTTTTTTTATCTTTTTGAAGCTGGGTCTCCCTGTAGCCCCAGCTGTCCTGGAACTCACTTTGTAGACCAGGGTGGCCTTGAACTCACAGAGATCCGCCTGCCTCTGCCTCCCAGTGCTGGGATTAAAGGTGTGTGCGACCACACCCGGCTTATTAAAATTTTTAATGTGTGTGTACTGCATGTAGTATGTGTGCTTGTTAGCATGATGTGTGCATGTGTATGTGGATGCACGTGAGTGTGCAGAACTGAGGTCGATACCAGTTTTCTTTCCTCCATCACTCTCATTGAACCTGAAGCTCACTGATTGTGCTGCATGTCCAATTTTAATGTGGGTTTTGGGACACTGAACTCAGGTACTGACACACTTGTGTCCTTTCTGAGTACCAGACTATTAAGACAATGAACCTCAAGAAACTGGAATTCCCCCCAGGAGTCTCATGGTGGGAGAAAGAAATGGCTAAAGCATTATACCAGCCAGAAGCTGAGAGCTTGCCTCCCAGAGATTTCATACAGTACAGACAACTTGTCAGACCACCTTTCTAGAGAGTCTGGAGCCTGGACAAGGATTGGTCAGTGGTGGGCGGGTCCACACCTTGATCAGCACTGCTTAGATGTGCAAATCGATGGCTCTTTATTTAAACTTTACTCTCACTTTATAATCCTGAAGATGGACTTGAGGTGAAGGGGGGTGGTCACTGGATCTCCGTCCCTCTTCCCAATTAAGGCATACTGAATAAATCTCCCCTTTCTGCCTTTTAAATGGCTGTTTTAGTTGGCTTGGGGATGAGTGGCCTAAACTTGGCTTCTTGGGGTACAGAATGTAACCCCAAACTGGGCAACAAGCCATATTCTCAGCCCACAAACACATCTTGGTCTATTTGCTTTTTTTCATTTAGCAATAACCAGCACTACTGTACACTATTATCAGAGTCTTATATTATTTCATAAGGACATAAATTAGAAGTTTGATCAAGATGATAGCCTAAGCCTAAAAGATGGAAGACTTAAGTATATGCTTTTATGACCCTCTTCTCCAAACATTATAAAACATCAGAGAAGACATATAAAATAAAAAATTTGTAATGGTTGGAAACAAACTATAACATTTGGAAATATGTATGTTATCAATGGACCAGACATTTTAGGGAATTCTTATATACATAAACAAGGTAAGAGTAGATTCACTGAGACAAAGGGGCCTAAATTACTGCAGGATGAGCAGGTAGGGAGACACATGAGCAATTAAGTCCTGCCATCCCACTGTTGTACCTGGGCTGGACTGAGATACAGGAAATAAAAGTGTGCTCAGTCTTCCTAAAATAGCAATTATAGACAACAGAGATTTAGAATTATGAGTGTGCCTGGAAAGGATGGATGGAGAACTTCAAGTTTGTTGTATTTTTTTCCTCCTAGTGATGGGGGCTGAACTAAATTCCCAACCCCTAGAATGTCAAATCAGAAAAGAAACTGTAGTTCAGGCCTCTTGGGGTAAGTCTATAGCGCAGCTCTCCGCCCGCCGGGACTC